AAAAAATCAGGGGTTTGGGGGATTTATTTCCCCCAAAAAATCAGGGGTTTGGGGGATTTATTTCCCAAAAAAATAACAGATTTGAGGGATTTATTTCCCAAAAAAAATCAGGGGTTTGGGGGATTTATTTCCCAAAAAAATCAGGGGTTTTGGGGATTTATTTCCCAAAAAAATAACAGATTTGAGGGATTTATTTCCCAAAAAAAATAACAGATTTAAGGGATTTATTTCCCCCAAAAAATCAGGGGTTTGGGGGATTTATTTCCCAAAAAAATAACAGATTTGAGGGATTTATTTCCCCCAAAAAATCAGGAGTTTACGGCATTTTTCCCCCCCCAGAAAATGTGGAATTTAAGGGATTTTTCCCCCCCAAAAACCTCATGGAATTTAAGCAATTTTATCTCAAAAAAACGTGGAATTTAAGGGGTTTCTTCCCCCCAAAAAACTGTGGAATTTAAGGGATTTTCCTCCCAAAAAAGTGGAATTTAATGGGTTTCTTCCCCTGAAAAAATGTGGAATTTAAGGGATTTTCCTCCCAAAAAACCCATTGAATTTAAGGGATTTTTGCTCAGGAAAAAAAAGGAATTTAAGGCATTTTCCCATTTTATAAAAATGTGGGATTTCAGAGGTTTTTCCTCCCCAACCCCATAAAAATGGAATTTGAGGGATTGGGATTTTTCCTCCCAAAATAATCAGGGATTTGAGGGATTTTATCCCAAAAAAAAATCAGAGATTTATGGGATTTTATTCCCCAAAAAAATCAGGCATTTGAGGGATTTTATCCCCCAAAAAATCAAGGATTTAAGGGATTTTTTCCCTTCCCCAAAAAAATTAAATTCGAGAGATCTCCTCCCTAAAAAAACAGAAATTTGAGGGATTTTTCCCTCCAAAAAATCAGGAATTTGAGGGCTTTTTCCCTCCAAAAAATCAGGAATTTGAGGGATTTTTTGCCCCAAAAAAATCAGGAATTTGAGGGATTTTTTTGCCCCAAAAAAGCGAAATTTGAGGGATTTTTC